AGCAATGGTTCAGCTCATGGCAGCAGAAGTAAATATTGGTAGACTTACGTGTTTGTTGATGCTCACGCCGTCCTTACCATAGATCTCCATCGGCGACAAGACCTTCTGCGTCTCAAATCCGGTTGCCAGAACAATAGCATCGGCAGATACATGGCGGCCAGAAGTAGTGCTAACACCATCTTTGGTGATCTCAGTGATTGGGTCATCGTAGATCAGTTCGACATTCGCGCGGTGCAAGCTGGCAAGATACCCCGTGTCATTGACCCTGCGTTTGCATCCAATCTCCGTCTTCGGGACCAGGAAGTCTCGATGTTTTGCCGGTGAGTTGGCTCGAATGTAAGCAGCGGCTTCCTCAGACCAGCTTCTTCTGATCTCTGCGCCGGAGGCGGTGTCAAAGCCCTGGAAGCCCTTCTCCTTTTCCCAGTACAGCATCGCACGATATGCGCGCATGGCAAAAGGCACCCATTTCATAGTCCACTTAAACAAGTCAGAGTACTTTGGGTTCTGTCTCTCTGCGAGCCAGTGGGATTGGCGACTGAACTGAGTGACTTTCTTGGCAGCTTCATCGCCCTCGCTAATCGCAGGAACGACTTGCGTGGCACTGCAGCCGTTTCCTAAGAACCATTAGCACGCGCTTTTAGACAGCAGATACACCATACCTACCAATCACCACAACTTCTCTGCCTTTCCATTCAAGAGAATGGTCCCATTCAGCGGTGTGGAACATCCGTCCCTGAAAGGTAGATGCCCCGGGAATGTCACACTTCTTCGGGATTGACAACGCTCCGACAGCAGAGACTAGAATCTTACAGCGACGTTGTCTGATCTGGGTTGATTCCAAGTCTCTTATGGTGACGATCCACGTGCCCGAGGGGGTGTCCCATTCGGCAGATTCCACAACTTGTCGAAAGCGGACGTGTTTCGGGATGTCATACTTGTCTGCCACATCTGTGAAATATTGATAAATCTCAGGCTGTAAGACATACGTTTGGGACCAGTTCGGGTTCAACTCGAAAGAGTAAGAGTAAAAGTGAGATGGCACCTGTTTTGGTCCATGAGTATGAGCGGCATGAAAGATCGAGGGTTGACTAACATCGCATCCACATCCTGGGTATGAATTCACCCACCCTGTCCCAGCAACGCTCTCTGACTTCTCGATCAACTCAAAGCTTCTTGTCTTATGTTGGCGAATGAGCTGGATTGCTAAGCCAATGCCGGACATGCCAGCACCAATGACTAGCACTTCAACGTCGTGTGTCATGATGAAGCTTATTAATCAACGATTCAAATCGAGTACCTCAAAGAACGGTAATATTGAAGAAATTCGAAGGCCTTATTAAAGGGAAGCTCAAACAGACTTTCTCAAGACGTGCAAGGGTGATTCTGTGACAATGCGAAGGGATATCGCAGTGGCTGGTTGAGGAGCTGCACGCAGCACCCGTATATAAACGACACAAGTATCGTCATTGAAGCATGATTGAGACCGGATAAATCTTGGGGTTTTGGTCAATGTGTTCCTTTCAACCATCGTGGTGATGCTGTAGGGAGATTGCCGTTCGTCCGGTCTTGCCATTCAAATCCAAGGCAATTTTTCCGACCGTCTCACGGGCTTTAAGTATCTCCTTTCATAAATCCCATGCAGTGATCAATGATAAGAATGATATCATAATGTATCAGAACCGGAGATCCACTGGCGGCTCTGGCAGAAGAATTGAAGGTGACGAGGTGGCGCTGCAAAGTGGGATGGGTCTCCCAGATCCCAGGAGAAACCACATGGGGTAATTAACCTCACAAGCAGACGGGATATCGAAAAGGTGAAATTTTTGCGAGCTTCACCCCGAATGTCTTCGAGTAAAATCAATCATCCAGTCTGCATAGTGTCGAAAAGGACTGGGTCACCTGCCGAGGCTCATGTTGGGACATGGAAGCTGGGAAAGTGAAATGCAATTTTGCACTCGTCTATCTATTATTTGAACATTCATCCATGTGCCCCAATCTTTTTGTCTATCCGTCAGATTATCATCGGAGGTACCGTAAAATCCTCTTATTTACTCACAACCTAACTTGCCAGCGCCCTAGCTGGATGGACGTGTCCCGCTGCCGCCGCGGCCCCCAGCCAGCTCTCCCGCTCTCGGCGAGGACTGATGACACTGGAATTCTCCGATGTGTCCGTCGTCTGTTCATTTACATTCACACTCCACTGCGACTTTCCCCCAGTTTTCTCTAGCCTTCGCTGTAGATAAGCAGCTTCGATGGCCTCAAGACTTTGATTCTTTGTTTCAGTCATCCAGATAGCGCAGAAGATCACGCTGAGCAGTGTGCAGCCTCCAAAGAAGAAGTAGGGACCGTAGGATGAGGCAGCGAGAAATGGCGGCGTAGTGAGTGCCACGACAAAGTTGGCAAGCCAGTTGGAACATTGCCCCAGCGCCGCGCCGCTTGATCTTGTCTCACGAGGGAGGCTCTCGACCAAAAACGCCTTCATGCAGATCGCCCAAGTCATGTTGAAGACGATTGCGAACATGTAGATGGAGATAATGACGACCCATCTCCCAGCGCCACCGTCAGGATGAACCAGGTCCGCGGCGTACATCGATCCTATCAAGAACATGATGATGGTGATGCCGATGCCTCCCACGAGAGTCGAAGTACGTCGGCCCCACTTGTCGGCGAAGATGGTAGCCGGGATGGTTACCACCATAATCAGTAAGGCCGAGACTCCAGATGCGAGGAAGGTTGCTTCTTCTGAGGCCATGCCTGCTTGTCGAAACATGAGCGGGGCGTAGTACAGGACTCCGTCAATCCCACTTGTTTGTTGGAAAATCAATAAGAGGCACCCAAAAGCAGTACGGGAGCGGTACGGCCCAGAGAAGGCCTTGCGGAAGTCCTTGAATGTCTCTTTGATGTTTTGAAGCATGCTCAATTTGGGAGAGTGGACAGTGACTTGACCCTTTTGCGCTAACATCTCTTGCTGCTCTTCCTGACTGATCCCGAGTTGCGAGACGACCAAGCGAGCTTTCTCGACGCGGCCCTTTGCCATCAGCCACCTGGGAGATGGCGGCACGAGTAGAGTTGTCGCAGCAAAGCCAAAGCCAAGGATTGACTCGATAGCCAGGGGCACTCGCCATGAAGCGGATGACCCAGCAATGCGCCCTGTGCCGTAGCACATGAAGTAACCCAAGGCAAGCCCGACGGTGAGCATGAACTGGGAAAATGCGACCCAGAATCCTCTCGTCTTCGCCGGCGTGATCTCGCAGACCTGGACGGCAACGGTGCTGACGAATAGTCCTGTTCCCAAGCCCTTGATAGCTCGGCCAGCGATGAACATTGCCAGGTGTACAGCACCACACTCGATGGCGGCTCCGACTCCAAATACAGCTGCGCCAGTAGAAATCATGGCAATTCGGCCGAGTTGGTCTGCCAACATACCGGCAAGCAGGGCACTGATCGTTCCGGTTATAAGAAGAGTCGAGACGATGGCTCCGTGTACGGTTGCCGAGAACTCGCCAAAGGACTCGGTGAAGGTTGACATTGCCGTGATTGGGCCGATGCTACCAGTGTCAAGTCTAATATTCATCAGTCGAAAATCTTCTCAACTATCAGAAAGAAAACATACCCCCATAACATCATAACCGCCCCCGTGGCAATGGACGCTCTGACGTAGAGCGCCGGCATCTTGGTGAATTGCATTCTCTTGAAGGCTCGGGCTTCGAGGTATCGGATGAGAATTCTGCTATAATACAGACTGGCTACCGACAGCACGGCCATGGGTTGTGCTCGTCCGGAATACTTTAAACATCTTCGGGGCCCGCATGTTGAGCTGGTGGCTGCGTCTGGCATTGCTCATAGATTTCTAATCGTGTCTCGATCAGGCATCGAGCCGACCGGTCTTCCCACAAGGAGAAAATCCGATAAGAGCCGCACATGACACGATGGTTGGGTTTCTTAATGTCATGCTTGTGAAAAGGTCTCTTTCACCGCAAACGTGCTTGTGACATGTAGTTGATAATGACTCGGCTCGATTGCCAGTTCTCAAGGTCCTCGTGCGCACACTTTTCACACAGCGCAAGACATCGTCGGATTTACCAACTTTGGAATAGCCGGTGACTTTTCCAGCTGGCATCAGTTGCAGCATCGCTGCCAACTGCTGAGTAAGTTCGGCAAAGCTGCCATTAGAACGAGAAGCGAAACCGAGACACACTCGAATCAGCATGCGCCACTTGCGCTGCCAGATTAGGCAGAATAAGCGCTTCAATTCGAAGAGGGAAATTTGCCGAACGCCTCACATGTCTGACGATTGCTGACTGTCCTCGGCGACTGTCGCCTCTTCAAAAAGGAAATATTGCCGACTTCGTGTTGATTCATGTCCACCGGACTCTTGATACACTCGGAAGCGTCTTGTTCGCTTCCATGTCATACGACCGCTATCGACCCATACATGGTGAACTATCGTCACTTGCATAATTGAAGCCAACAATACAACGGACCTTGTAAGCACTTGGCCAGTTGGTTTGCCCTAAGCGGCGAAAAATACGTCAGCCGGCTTCTCGCCAAACTGCAGTTGCAGCTGACGGGAGTATGCTAATGCGGTTCACCACGCAGCTAGTATTCGCGCCCTTAGAAAGACTTGAAACAGCCCGTGGATCACTTGAGAATTGGATTACATTCGCTTACACTACTGTTGAGGTTCCAGACCATCGACGCTCTGGAAGTTCCCTAAGTCCCCGCACTGACGTGTTCTTGTGTTCCACCGGAACGATTTCCTGCTTCTGTCCCGCATAACATCCCACACACTCGTATCTGTTTCCCTCTCCACAAACTCTTCATGTCGGTGTCCGAACAACCAGCCGGAATTTGATTCACGGCCTCGAAAGTATCGGACTCTTGTCTCGCGCAAAATGCCGCGTTCGTTCCAACTCCAGTCTAGTGCGGGCAGACTTTTCGACGTCTTCCAATAGGAGACATCCTGGCTTACGCCCCCCCTGTTTGGGGCTCTGGACAACATGCGCTCGCATCATGGATGGTGGGCCCTCGCGTTGTCAACTGCTCAGCAAGCCAGCTTGCACTAACCTTGTGCAGCTTGACATGTCGACAGCGAAAGCTCAAGTGCGACGAAGCCAAGCCTACGTGCGGACAGTGTACGAAATCTGATAGAGAATGCATCTTTTCACAAGACACGAAGTTCCGCCATTTTGACGTTCAAGGTCTGCTTGGGCAAGGACAAGAGAAGACATTAGCAGGGCGTGCTGCAACTGAGGGACTGTTTGCCAAAGATCATGTTTGGATTGACATTCCCGGCGACCGTAAGTCCACCCTGGCTTCAACGGTGTAGTGGACGGAGAGGTTGCTGACCGGCCCCCAGTCACGTTTGTGAACATCGTAAACCCATACGAAGATGACACGACGGTTTTCGAAGACGAATTGCTATTTCGGAATGCTGATGATGGAATTACCTATACTCACGCCGACGATATCCCGCCGGCCCGGTGGGATAGCACCTTACCGACGCCCCCCTCACAAGATTCGGGAAGTCGGCTTGAACCAGACGCGGTGTCGCGGATAGATTGCGCTCAAGAGCCTCCGCGAGAACTTCAAAACACACCAGATATCTTGTTGAACGACAGTAACAACGAAACTTTCGAAAATGTATCTCCTGCAGAGAGGGGCCCTCCAAGCTCTGTTGTCTACACACCACCGATACTCGAACCAGACGATGATGTTCCTGTGGATGAAGGTATCAACGACCCAGAAACAAGTGTTCTTGGGCTTCAACTTCTCAGACATTTCCGAGAAGGTCCAGGGCAATGGTACTGCAAAGCTCATGAGTGAAGATAAGATAGAGTTAAGGACTAATTTGTGCAAACAGGATGGACCTCTTCGACACAAGTGCGCACTTCTCTTGCAAGATACCAATACGGGCAACAACAAGGCCCCTGCTCAAATCAGCCATCTGCGCCCTAGCAGCGAAGCATCTATCACGAACTCAAAGCAACAACTGCGAGAAACAATCTAGCCGCAGCGCTAGAGCGTCACTTAGCTCTCCGACTTCCAGGACACCAGATTGGCAATACCATGCCGTCCGATATTATCATCAAGCGATCCGCTGCCTGAAGCATGCCATTGCCCTCGGTGGGTGCGATGATACCCGAGATATGGATGGTGGTCGACACACCGATACCTTCGCTGCAGTTGCCATTCTGTGCATGTACGAGCTGATGAATGCTCCGGGCAATGCATGGAAGGCGCATCTGACAGCTCTACCGCTGTATTCCGCGTCAGATAATAACCTTACTGGTTGCTCACCAGTACCCATTCCACAGTCCCCAATCAAGGGGCCAATATTCTGGAGCTTGGCTAGGCAGGACTTTCTCTGTGCCTGTAAGTGTTTTTGGGAGAAACTTCCTTCTTGACGCAAAGAACAGAAAAACTAATCGAATGATTGACAATAGTCATCAGCGAGACGCAAACTCGTCTGAACCTCGACCATGTTCGGCTCTGGCAGAACTTTGGCCTAGCGACAGACGAAAACAGCCTTCTCCTTCCCTTCAGCCCCTTTTGCACTGCCGATATCCGTGCCTCGACCGACGTAGACGAAGACTCGAAAAGCAACGAGCTCCTCTGGCTCCTCGGAAAAGTCGTAAACTTCATCACCTCGGGAGACGGCATCAACCCGGAAGACTACTCCAGACCAGCGGGCCAACGCATGTCTCTTGGGGTCACACAAGAGCTGCTCCTCCAGCGATGGGAGAAGCTTGAGATGGAGCTTCAAAGATGGTACGAAAGCCTCCCACGGACATTTGCCCCGAGCGCCAGAACCAATTACACCACATCGACGGAGGGCGGAGAGAATGTCAAGGACATGGAGACGATATGGTACGACATACCCATGTGCGCAGCAACAATGCAGAGCTATCACATGGCCTGCATTTTGCTACTGGTTAATCGGCCGCAAGAGTCGACAGCGATCCGTTCGACAGTGTCAGCGCGCCTGAGGTCATACCGTCTCATCCAAAGGGAGGTCCTCCGACACGGCAAGGAGATATGCGGGATCAGCCTTTCAGATCCCCCAGATGCTGTCCGCATCCACTCCGTACAGCCACTATTTGTTGCGGGACAGTCGTTCCACGAGCGACCGGAGCAGGAGTTAGTTCTCAAGCTGCTCTCTGACATTGAAACGGAGCTGGGATGGGCCACAAACTATCAGGTCAGGAAGTTGACCGACGAATGGAAGGTGAATGAGGATGATTATGGAGAACCCTTGATGCGTAATGGTGTTCTATGTTAATACGACATCATGATAGATCTTGTTTTTAGCGTTTTCAATAGACGTCTGCCTCCTTAGCGTAGCCTTTGTCATCATATATGGTGGCTGAAGTACCAGACAACTATGTAGACTTTTGTGGTCTTGTCGAAAAGAAATCAGCTTTGCGGCACCAAGGCCTTGAGAAGTAATGGTCCTCACCGGAGGAGTCATAAACATACAAGCTATCCAAAGTGACGAGCAGTGGTGATGGTTAGAAACCAGTAAACCATTATATGTCCTTGCAAATGTTGGTAAGTCCTATGGTCGTAGTGTGGGTATTCTGCAAGTGATTGTGCAGCGTGAACCTACCATTTGAGGAGGCCCCCGCCGATTTGTTTTTGCAGTCTAGCCTCCCGACTGCGAGGATAGACCTGGACTCACTGTCTATAAATGGAACCGAAAAGGTTTTCTGTCACGGATAGGTGGAGAATATCCATCATTAACGAGAAGATCATGTTCCTTAGCTAGAGTCCCCGTGCGCAATGCCGATTGTCAAAAAGGCTTTCCGCTATTCTAGGGCAGCAAAGTTTATTGTCATCATACATCTAGGCCTTGCGTCCGCCGTTTGGCCGTAGATTTCTAAAGATTACGTCCTTCTCAACGTCCCTCGGTACTCTAGTCTTGGACTCTTCTAGCAGTTGTGTGATATTGACGGCTTTCATCTGACGCAGTTCTGGCAATATGGTGCAGGTGACGAAGATCATGCGTGGAGTTCGATACTTCTGACATCAGGACCTTGAAGCTACAAGGCTAGAACTGCCAGAGCTGCCATTCCTTTGGATTGGCAGAGGAAGCCTCAGTTCCTCACGTGGAGATTCTAAAGGACCTTTCCACTTTACATTCTGTTCCAACCAGACTCGCGTAATGAGCCATTACCGCACTTCCCCGCAACTCGATTGTGGCAGTCTCTGTTGGCTTTCATGAGATGAACGGGATACGATTCGCCAGGACGATATCGACCCACCCAGTCACAGGGCGCGGAGATGGGCTGGAACCAATCCTTGTCAGGGGCAGAAGCTGTTGGACGCAGGATTGGGAGGGAATGTAGGATTTCTGCTGATGAATGATGGATCAACAGGTTCAACCCAATAATCTTGAGACTACTGAATTGAGAACTTGAGGCTACTGAGACCAAAAGTTTACCTTTCATTCACGCTGCATCATACAAGGAGGCGCTCTGGCACGCCGCAGATATGCTCGTGATGGCATCATAATCATCAGCGTCAACCAGCACTTTGATTATTCAAAGAAGCAGCGCAGTCCTCGTACAGAACTGGAAAAACTAGCCGATCAGCCAATCACGAGGACGTGTTAGCGATCCCGAGCCTATGGATTACTGGCGGGGAATTAGGAAAGTATTAGCGGAGAGCCTCAGAGGCTAGAGGTCAGGCGTCATTGTTTCAAGTTGATTGAAGCTCGTGCTGCGTAGGCTTAGTATGAAGTCGGGATTATCCCGCTACCGTAGATAAAACCCGAGAAAGCAAACGTTGTTGCGTAGGTCCATCCTACTTGGGAAATCTGATCGCAGCGGATAGCTCCGGAGTTAGTTTCTCTCTTGCTCTCGCTCAAATGAAAGGGGTCGTTGATTGCATGCGCCAGTACGGGGCCTTGCCAGCTATGGCGAGTAAGAAACTGAAAATTAGGTGTTCCTGAATCCACCTACCCGCTGCCCAGAGTCTTGGCTCTCACTTTCGGCTTAGTTCACCAAACAGCCGCCCGGTTTTGGTAGTCTTGCCGCTGTGTGGGCCCTTGGCCACTTTATCGGATTCTGCTCGAGCCTCACTGTTTAGACTTGTTATTAAAGTACGAAGGTAGTTCTCGATGAACTGACCTGTTGGTTCTCTGTGTCAACCTCCTTTTCGACGTCTCTTCCCAGTGTTAACTTCAGCTTCGACTCAAGTTCGCGCCGGCGTGATCGAGTCATTCGTTTATCGACTTCACGCATCCGTTCTTTAACAAAAACCACATTCGTTCCACCCCACATTCCGCTACAATGCGTTTCTCAGCATCCGTGATCCTTGCTGCCGCTGCCGCCAGCACGGCCTCCGCTCAGTCGGTCGTCGGCACGGCGTACGGCTTTGCCACCGGCGTCACCGGCGGTGGCAGCGCTAAGGCTGCCACCCCGTCCTCCGCCGAAGAGCTGGCCGAGTGGCTCTCCGACGACACCGCCCGTACCATTGTTATCGACAAGGAGTACGACTTCACCGGCGAGTCGGCCTCTGGAGCGGGTTGCGACCGCAAGAGCTGCAGCTCCACCAACGGTGGACAGCTGTACCTTGGAGACCTGTCTTGCGGAACCAGCGACAACACCGTCGCTACTGTCACCTACGACGTCGCCGGCACCGAGCCTCTGGTTGTCGGAAGCAACAAGAGCATCATCGGCTCCAACGGCAAGGGTGTTCTCAACGGCAAGGGTCTTCGCATCCAGAAGAACGCCAAGAACGTCATCATCCAGGGCATCACCATCACCAACCTCAACCCCGGTGTTGTCTGGGGAGGTGATGCCATTGATCTCCAGGTAAAACTCTATTCGACTTCTCGAATCATTCTGTGTCGATTGCTAACATTCCTGTAGGGAGGCAACGATGGTGTCTGGATCGACCACAACAAGATCTCCCTGGTCGGCCGTCAGTTCATCGTCAGCCACTACGACGGCTCCCGCGCCACCATCTCCAACAACGAGTTCGACGGTGTCACCACCACCTCTGCCTCCTGCAACGGCAACCACTACTGGACCATGATGCTCAACGGTGACGGCGACCAGATGACCCTCGATCGCAACTACTGGCACGACGTCTCCGGCCGCGCCCCCAAGCTCGGCGAGAAGGGAACGTTCCAGGCGACCAACAACCTGTTCTCTAACATGAAGGGCCACTCCTTTGAGCTGTACTCCGGCACCGTCTCCCTGATCGAGGGTAACGCCTTCGAGTCCGTCGACACGCCCTACGATGGCGAGGCCTACTCCAACAGCTTCAACGTCCCCGACGCCTCGTCCGCCAGCTCTTGCACCTCCTCCATCGGCCGTGCTTGCCAGGTCAACAGCGTCGACTCCTCCAGCGGTACCTGGAAGGCTCTCAAGGAGACCACCGCCCTGTCCACCTTCTCCAAGCTCAAGGACTACCTCGTCGAGCCCGTCGCTGCCACCGGCGTCTCCGCCCTCGTCAAGGGCAGCGCTGGACCTGCCAACGTCGGCTCCTCCACGGCCGCCACCCCTACCACCGAGACCGAAGAGACTTCCACCGAGGAGACCGCGACCGAGGAGAGCTCCGCCGCCGCGACCACCCCTGCTGCCACCGAGGAGACCACCACCGAGGAGACCACCACCGAGGAGCCTGCTGCCGCGGATTCCGGTTCTTCTTCGACTGTTACTGCCCAGGCCTGGAGTCAATGCGGTGGCAGCGGCTGGACTGGCGCCACGACTTGCGCCGCCGGAACCTCTTGCGTCGTTCAGAACGAGTGGTACTCTCAGTGCCTCAGCTCCGCCGCCAGACGCAGCATGAAGTCGCTCCGTCGCATCTAATGCAGCGTCCTGGATATTCAATCTGAACATATTCTGAAGTCTTCAGGGCTTCTTGTAGATATGAATGAGTAACATCTGTAACATTAATCAACTACTATGAACATATCGGTTCCATTGAATCACATTTACTCATCGACGCGTTACAATGCTGCTTTTAATTGGTGACACTGATCTGGTCTGTCAACTACTTAACTGTCTAGTATCTTTTACAGGTCTGGCATGGCCGTCACTATACGAACATCTACAGCATCTCCGGCAAACATGATTCTGTCTCAATTCAGTGTCGCTAGGAATCCCAGAATAAGAGCAGAGCCCTTGCGGCTCAGTCACTGATTACTTGGGCTACACCATCACACCTAGAGTATAATAGCATGTAATATGCACTTAATGTCGATGTCGTGTCCGTCTGACCCCTCCTTAGATCTTACCACTACAGCCTCTTTGGAGGGGCTTTACCTATCATCAACATCGCTTTTCTTTTGCCAACACTTGTTCCCCTTCCACCGATGATCGAGGGGAACCTGTCAGTCGTTTGAGAGAGTCCAGCAGCGGAAACGAATGAATGATGGTTCCTAGGACTCATTTACCCAAAGTTCACTTGGCAGTACTTCTGTGCCAGTAATATAAGCATGCGCTGTTTTGGCCGTCGAATAGGGTAAGTGGCGACCTCTTATCATTCAAGCCAAACGTATTTTCAATGACAGAACTTGTGTTCAATGAGTCGCCTGGCCCGGATGACAAGTGCGACTCGTCTGCTGCAAAAGCCACTTTTATTGGACTGTGTAGCTAAGAGACCTGCATGAATAAATCTCCAGTGGAGAAATGGTACGATGCTCGTTGTGTTGGTTCGCTGCCATGGGTCGACGTAGCACCATGATGTATGGAGGTGACCCACGCCATGGATTGGAATCCTCTATTTGACCTGGAACCGATAAAGCTGTAATACCCCGCACTTTGTGCTTCAAAGATTTACACAAAACCACCAAAGCCAAAATCAGGTACTGAGAAAATCACCATAACAATCTGAAGCATGGGTGATAACTTCCAACCCCGTCGTGTGCGTGTAGGCATCGTGGGTGCCGGCATCGCCGGCTGTTGTCTATCAATCGGCCTCCTCAGCTACCCTCATCTTGACCTTCACCTATTTGAAGGATACCCCAACGTTCGATTCCGAGGGTTTGGCCTCGCTTTGCATGCGAATGCCATCAAATCCATGGATCTCATATAGCCAGAAATCAAGAAAGCGTACTTTAAGAAGTCCCACTTCATGGCCAACGAGGAAAATATGGAGATGGCAACCCAATTCTTTCTTTCTGCCGGGAAACATGCAGGAACTTTGGTGGCAGAACTGGGGAGAGCTAAAGGAAGAAGGACGGTCCATCGAGCACACTTCATCGAAGGACTCCTGGAAGACGAGGTCATGCCCAAGGCGCGACTGCATTTCGGCAAACGCTTAGTCGACCTCGAGGAGAATGCTATCACCAAAGAAGTCAAAGTCAGTTTCGAGGACGGCACAAATGACATTTTCGACGTCGTGTTCGGGGCCGAGGGAGCTTTCAGCCCAACCAGGAAATTCATCCTTGGGCCCGAACATCCGGCTACTAAGCCCGTCAACCACGATGAATGGCGGCAGTTTCATTCAGCAATCCCCATGACAGAGGCCAAACAAATCATTCCGCAGCATTGCATCGATAACGCCATCGGCCATTGCACCCCTTATGGATTCATCATAGGCATTCCAGTCGATCTCGGACAAACTTACAGCATAGGTTGCTTGCAAAGAGACACCAAATGCCCGCAAAAAGGGGCGCCATTCAACTCGGGTCTGTGGAAAGGGTTTCTACCAGAAATTGATGCCCTTATATCTGTAAGTATTCGTGGTGATACCATGAGCAAACGGATGACTGAGCCATGTGGATTAGGCCGTCGAGCAAAGCCACAATGAGGATTGGAGCTTGCAAGATCACGAGCATGCACCGACATATTATAAAGGACATGTAGCCATGCTTGGTGATGCCGCCCATGCAACCCTACCCCACGCAGGAAACGGAGCTGCCCAAGCCATCGAAGATTGCTCCATACTCGCAGGCATCTTCCATCGGCTGACATCGGTTGACGAGATTGAGCCAGGCTTGAGAGCCTTCGACGAGATTCGACGCCCGCGAAGTCAAAGAGTTGTGGATATCACGCGAGAGTTTGGCAGACTTTACAGCCAAGACGCAGACGAGATTGACTTAGATCACATGCGGGCTCAGATGAAAGAAGGTGGCATGTTCACAAATGGGGTAGACATGGACGCTCAAGTCAAAGACGCAGTTGAGGCCTTCGAAAGGTACAAGATGGAGTTATGAATTATGAAAACCTGAAAGTTCGGCTTGGAATACCATGCTTATGTCGTTACAATTCTCCCGTAACCCAAAGGCTTGTGAGATCCTAGGCGCCTCTAGCGCATGTTTGCCCTTTTCTATCGATAAATGCTGGCTAATCATCAAGTGCTGTCTGCGCTTCCAGTATGCATGAGACAAAATCGGGGAAACTTCCCCTCGAGATGGCGGTTGCTTAACAGGGTAACTGTCAAAGCAATTACGGACACTATGGCAAAATGTGAGAATGATAACGAGACCGAGGAAGGCATAGCTTACGCAGCGCACGAACTAGTTGGGGATGTGATTGTCAGTACTTGTTCGCTAGAGCACGCGCGGACAATTAGATACTTACACCGCTACCCAGGCATGAACTCAGAACAGGCGCAGTGCCGGCGCCGTTGGACGGGTTGACGCATACTTTCTCCGACCCAAAGTCCCCGTGTTGACTTCCAGGCTCTTCGCACTTCACACAATAATCAGTCAGATATTCTTTTAGTTAAAGGTACTATCGTACACAGTAGGTGTTGGTCTAGGACGGGTTAGCTTAGTAAAATCCTGATCAATCTTGCGAGTAGACTTACGTAGCCAGACGGACATGAGGCTCCAGCAGGCTTGCCCCATCCGGCGTTGCACCAAGCAGCATTGGAAGAGGCGGCAAAAGCCAAAAGAACAGCCAGGTACTTCATATTGATAAGACAACGACGGCACGTGAAGTTTAGGTCGGGGGATTTCAAGTAGCTGATGGCGGGGATATCGCGAGTTTGTTAAACGAGAGGAGTTCGAATAGGGCAGGAACATTCAGCTGTATGTAGTATTTGTAGGCTGAAGAATTGTCGGAGCATTCCAGGTGATGCATCGATTGTTAAACTCAATTAGATTGAAGTGGGGTGTTTGCGATGACAGCGACGCACTGTTGGCCCTTGCGGTTCGTCACCTTGTCGTCGATAAAGCCTGGAACATCGAGGTGAACGAGAGCCGCGTATTCGGGCTCCTTGTCAATCATCGATATCACGCAACAAGTCGGTGCTGACCGCTATGCTTGGGCCAGTGTGTCACATGGCATGAAAGTTTGACATATTAAATCTAAAGTGATCTTCAAACTTTGCCTGCCTTATCCCTCCATCTTTTGCTGTCTCGTAGTTGCGCCAAGATTTCACGTTCCTTAATGGGCGTTCTAATCTCACCTGTGGACCCTACGAGTCACGACTCGTGACTACCGGACTTTGTCAATGCTTCTTATGCCGGCTTTCCGCCGTTGCCATTAGGGACTGCCTTGAAACCCCGAGAGGCCGCCGCTACATGACAAAACCGAAAATAGCCCCTGTTTGTGTGTCGGTCGAACCATTCGGCGCAAAGTAACCACGCCTGTTTAAAATAGTGACTTGGCGAGGGCTCCGGTCTATGAATATGTTGTCCTGAAAACAAACACAAGACGAGGCAGAAGAAGCCCAGTCGACCAAGTCACCACTTTGGCAACATAGGTACCTGTGGGATGATGATCGAAACCGCCTTGCAAGCACAGGGAGTACGAATACCGGACTCTTGGCAGGCCCCGGTCCTAGCGAAGTCTCTGACCGCAGCAGTAAATTTGGCCAGGGCTCCGATTTAATTTATACCAGCCGTTGTTTTCATCTCGGCCACACATTTGTTCTGCGCCGTGAGGTTCTTTGACACCCAGCAAGTTTCTGGCTCTGCTGGTGCTTCAAACAGTGTGCAAGCTATCTACTGCATCGAATTCTATCTCGACTACCATGCGATCTTTCGAACAACGACCGCAGGCGAAGGTATCGTCGGCGAAGTTGTTCATGGATGATGGGGGCCAATCTTTCGCAACAGACGGTAAAAACAGTCATAAACCAAGTTCCAGCTCTAGCAACGACAAATCCAACTGACACATTACAGGCGACAATGGATACGTGGAATGCCCCAGGAATTACATCTGCAAACATCGGAGACCATACTATCAGCCCTAAAGCGTATAAGAATATGGAGGCTTCCAACCATCGTAAAAAGATTCCGACTTCTATCGCAAAATCCATGATCCCTCTCTCGCCTGTGTCTTCTTATGAGCCCCAGACTCAGTCTACGGTGCGTTTACCTTAGGATTGTAGCTTACGTCTTCATCATGGCGCCGTGGAGAGTTACACGGCTGGGTTCGGGGAGGTTGGGATGGGTCTGGGATGTTTCTCGAATGCTGCTCATGGGTTGCGATTGTGGCTGCATCACATTGGTTTGTCTAAGTTCGACAACGCATTAAAGAAGCACTTACACGAAGAAGCAACCCAAGCAGACAAGAACAGAATACAAACAAGAATCAACAGTATCACTTGACCGAAGTTTGCGTCCATCCGGTGCGTCAGATCTGTATCCAAGTAGAATTTCCAGAAATTGCCCATTCCGAAGACAAAGTAGAAACCTAGCCAGATTATTTCCCAGAGAAAGCTGGTGGAAATTAACTCAGTCCATATGTCTAACGCCAAGATCCAACGGTCCACAGTAGGATCGTCCTTGCTGATACGAAGTTCTTCAAGGCTCAAGCAATGATTCCATCGTGGGCGCGAACTCGTTATTGTACTTGTTTTCAGCTAGCTCTCCCAGCAGTCGTTGCAGAGACCATCGAGACCAGTAGTGGTAGTCCGCCCGGGCATCTTTGTGATAAAGTTCAAGGAACCGCCTCGAATAGCCGAGGACTATAACCAAGACGAGGACCGTCTGAATCAAAAGTACCACAACCTCGTCTGAAAGCGCGACGTAGTGAGGCCGGTCAGGGTCGATGAATTTGAAAAGTTGTTTTGCGCATTTGACTGAGATGTGGCGATTGAATCTGAAGGTAACTGATTCAGATATCGTCATGCATATTATCAAAAGCACTGGTAGTACGGCCACCACACATACTCGGAATGTCCTCAGGCTCTCGTAACCGTCGAAATGCTCGCGCAGGAGAGAGATTGTACAAATATGTACAATGCAAGAGAAGTACCCGAGTCTGGTCGCGATCTGAAAGGAGAAAACCGAGAACTTTTCACTCAGGTTGTTGTTGAACGTCATGAACATGGTAACGATCGTGAGGGTTACACCGGTAGTGAGTTGCTGATCGCTCATACCAAGCATGAACGGTTCAAAGGCCCGGATTCTCTTGAGTCTGGTGACGTCTTCGGGACTGCTGTGGTCATCGTAGCACGAAAAGAACCAACGCAAGTTTTGGCGAAAGGCCTCGTCAATTGAGTTACTGTCGATTGATCCAGACAGCCAGTCAAAGATATACGCCATCGTAATCGCAAAAAGTTTAAAGATGATGGATATCATAAATGAGACTTCGACCTACTGAGCTACAGCAAATCCGTCTAATATCGCCCTCGTGGCTGACGTCAAGTCATCATACTCCCAGGCCTGTGACATCTGGATCTTTGCACAGCCGGTTGGCTACGAGTTAGTCTGTTCCCTTAGCCATACCACTACTGGGAATGGTGTTCAAAGATACAATGAAGGTTGATCGGCATAATACCTCATGAACATCCAATGCATATGTTGTGAAGGAAACAAGGTTGGGGGGACGTAGGGGGCTTGAATCTATCTCAATCATCAACGCGCATCGCGTCGCCTACTAATTACAAGTGAGGCAAACCGCGGTCGCCCCGCCACGAGAAGGCAGCTCCAATTGACAGTGAGACACGCAGGCTGGCGTGAAGACAATGCCTGACAGTGCTGGCAAACTGCCACATCTTCATAGTTTTCGACTGGACATGGATTTTAAACAGGCTATTGGAGATTATTATCGATCTTATCAGTGCCGCCCGACACTGAAGTGAACACCTGATTATGAGCTCAGCCACCATACGTACCATGTCCTCAACTGACGAGTGTTAGAATGGGCTCTTCCAGAGCGACCAGAGACAAAGGCGCTAGCCGGTGTGTTTAGTGGGGTTTCAACTCGGCTATTGTTGACGCCATAGGCATTCGCACAGCGTGGGTGTGATTGGACTCTTCGGTGCAAGTCTTATTTCCGGGGTACCGGAAAACAAACCAAACCAAAGGGTATTTGGGACCCGTGGCGTGCCGAGGAATCCGCCTTTTGCAGCTTGATCTTGCCATTCTCTTTCACCAAGTACCCTCATGGGTCTTTGGATCTCGCCTGGGGAAATTCAAACTTGAATTAGCGGTCGAGAAAACGTTCGGTTCCGTAGCACAGGAAGAGTCGGGCTTGCGAGTCTCGCTGGGTACGGATACTACGGAGACGTGATCAAAGAGGCTAATGCTCTCGCCAAACTAATGCAACGGCTCACGGGTTCACCTGAGCCGTTGCCAGCTTGATTGGCTAGGTATTCGAGGTCGTAATGCGAACCGAAGGGTCCTGCGGTTTTGGGTTTGGTGCGTCTTGTTTGAGAAAACAGTACCAACAACAGGCGGCACCAGGCCCACGTACTCCTGAACAACACCTATCGTTGCAGAGCTGCATCCTTGTGATACGTGGAACGCAGTTCTGCTTGGGGAAACCATCTCCGCTGACGGGGGAGCAACGCGCATTTGGCGACGATGTGCAAACAGCCAAGGGAGGGGTAAGCCGACCCATCTTACAGGACCGACAGATAAAAACCAACACGGATCGCATGCCAACGCAGAGAGAGAGCAGGCTTTTCACGCACCTGTAACTCTCTCGACAAATACAGCCGGATTCAACTCTCAAGAATGTCGGCCGTAGGACCCACCAACGCCGCGCCTGCGGTGGACCGCGAGGAGGAGACTGTTCCGGCCGCAACACCGACCAACGCTGCCGCAACGCCAGGCCGAGAGGACGACGCGGTCCCGGCCGCAACACCGACCAACGCTGCCGCGACGCCTGGTCGCGAGGAAGAAGCGGCGCCTGTCGCAACACCCGCCAACGCTGCTGCAACCGAGGAAGAAGCGGTTTCTGTCGCAACACCCGCCACCGTTGCTGCGACGCCTGGTCGTGAGGAAGAAGCTTCTCCGGTCGCAACACCCACCAACGCCGCGCCTGCGCTGGATCATGAAGAACAAATTGTCCCCGATGAAAATGTAGGCCTGCTAGACCTAATTGCATGAATGTCTACTAATTTCATCTGCCAATAGCCCTTCGATGACACTGCATCCGAAAGAGGAGAAGTGAGATAAGCCTGTTTATTACGGTGATAGCAGGAAGCATGTGCTTACCAACTATTAGAGTACGAGCGAGTCCACCCAAAGTGTTACAGCCTCAATCTTCAACTACCGTCAAGAAAACGGGAGAACCTACCACGCCTACAAAGACGGCAGTGAGTTCAAATGCCAAGCATCTTGACCAATGATAGGAAATCAGATTGATACTGACTCCCGCAGAATACACCCTGCCTAACGATGAGAGGGAAATCGACCGACTGGGTAAGCCACCGCCTCTGACATTCTGTGCCAAGCTGTGATGATGTACAGCTGACCGTCAAATAAGATTTACAACACAATCTTTTCCTCATCACGTTCGATGACCGACTTGGAAACGCGCCGCCCAACGATCCGGGTGCTAAGGTGGGACGCGTGCTCGACGTAGGCACCGGCACCGGCATCTGGGCATGTGAGTTTGGCGACGAGCACCCGGAGGCGGAAGTGCTCGGTTTTGATCTCTCCGCTACATTCCCATCATTGTAAGCTCCGTATCCTTGTGGGAGGAAGGCCTGTTTCTCACCCGCGAAATAGTACTCCACCCAACGTTAAATTTGAGGTGGATGACTTGGAGGAACCCTGGATCTATTCACGGAAGTTCGACTACATTCACAGCAGAATGATGAACGGCTGTATCGCAGACTGGGATGCCTACGCGAGAAAGTGTTTTGAGTAAGAAGACGATCTTGACTTGCCCTTTGGGGAACATCCATTTACCGAACGTCGGCCGCTGATTTTCCGCAGCAATCTCAACCCCGGCGGATGGCTCGAAATCAACGAGATCTCTTTGATGCCGAAAAGCGATGACGGCACTCTCAAGGACGACGCCATGATCTTCAAAATGGCCAAGCTGGTGAGAGAGGCAACTATCCAATTTGGCCGCGTCGCCACCGACATGGAGGACATTAAGGAGGTCCTGATCCGAGCGGGCTATGTTGATGTTAGAGTCCTGAAGTTTAAGTGGCCCACGAATATGTGGCCCAAGGATGCGAGATACAAGGAGATTGCCAAGTGGTCTCAGGAAAATATCTTGGCAGGCTGGGAGCCGTTATGCCTGGCGACAATCACCAGAGCCCACGGCTGGACGAAGGAGGAGGTACTGGTTGGGACCATGCACTGCCGCAATGAGTTCAACGACAGGAGCATTCACGCGTATTATCCCGTGTAAGTTTTCCAGGCCCAGCCGTGTTCTTACTTTATATACTGACCATGTGTAGGTACTCAGCTTTTGGCAGGAAGCCAACTGAAGCAGAGGTCGCAGCGACCCCCTAGTTAACACGGGCTAATTGATAATGGCTCCTAGTTCTCGACCGCAAGTTAGTGGTATTTGTTTAGACTTTTCATCTTGAATATAACTTTTCATAAACATCATTACGAGCAATAATTGTCCGCTCAACGACTGTAACGATAACATACGTGGCGAACCGGGAGGCTCGGCTTCATGGAAGCATCACGGACGGGTGCGATGGACTTCGTTCATAAGATAGTGCAAGTTTAAAATATTTGTGCACCAACGCGTTGAAGGTTGGCCGTGTGATTGCATGTACATGCACCAACATGGATCGCGAAGTGGAGGGTTCTGTTGTTTGTGTGGGCGCTTAGTGGTTCGACAAAGGCAGGGGCACCACCAACAGCATATAGACCACCCTGGCCCGATACTCGCAGACCTATCATCGCCGAGCCACTGCACACTCATGCATGGATTTGTCGCTCAATAAGGAAGCCAAGTCCGACGAGTGGGTTCATGGGTATCTCGGGACAAACAACCGTCATAATCACGGAGGCGCTTGTTGGACCAGGACGGATAAATATCGCGAACAAACGTCTCCCAGACACCGCGACACATCATTCGACCATCAAAAGTCCAGTTTCTTGACGTTTCGCCGTCTTTCAGTGCCCGAAATGTCTTCGAATCGAATTAGAGCGGAAACGTTCGACCCCGGTGTGGTAATTGAGGCAGACGACGAGGTATTGCTTTGCCTCCTGCTGCTACGACCGCTTGCTAACCATCGCATCACTTCAGCCTGATTTCGACGACACAGAGTCTATCAACGCGCCAGTAAGAGATTACGACTGCAGCTTCATGTTGCAATATTGTTGCTGATAGATGAGTAGAGCGTCTCGTCGTCAAATGTGAGTCTTGCCGCGGATGTCATGGACTATCGAATGGAGAATGGAAGGACATACCATGGGTATAAAGAAGGCAGTAGGTCTTAGCTTCTGAAGCAGAATCATTGACGGACCTGTTAACCATTGATGCAGAATACAACCTGCCTAACGATGAGACGGAGAACGACAGGCTTGGTGAGTACTCGCAAAGCTTTGAGACGTGGATTCTGACAGTGAGGAAGAGCTCCAGCATAACCTGTTCTTGCTCACTTTTAACGACCAACTGGGCAACGCTCCCCCAAATAACAAGGATGCCAAAGTTGGGCGAGTCTTGGATATCGGAACAGGAACAGGTCTCTGGGCTGTCGATTTCGGCGACGAACATCCGGAGGCTGAAGTCCTTGGCGTTGACCTTTCAGCCACATTCATTAAGTCAAGCTGTCTGGTCCGGCCAGTTGATGATTACATCGCTAACTCAAAACTGATTGCAGCCCACCGCCTAACGTCAGCTTTGAGGTTGATGATATTGAAGAGCCTTGGACGTACTTTCTAAAGTTCGACTACATCCACAGCAGAATGATGAATGGCTGTATTAATGACTGGGAGGAATACGCTGCGAAGTGCTTCGAGTATGTATCTGTCCATGTGCTTTTTCAAAAAAAAACCAAACTCTCTCCTTTGTGATATTATATCCATGTATCTTTGGACAAACGTTCAGGCTAATTGGGTCACGTAGCAACCTCAGCCCCGGTGGATGGGTTGAGTTCATCGAAACTCCTCTCAAGCCCCAGAGCGACGATGGTACGCTCCCGGAAGATGCACAGATTCTGGTGATTGCAGATCTCATTCAGGAGGCTTCAGAAAAGGCCGGACGACCCACTATGAAACCGGACAAGTTTCAAAGCATATTGAGTAGGGCTGGGTTTGTCGATATCAAAGTGCTAAAATACAAGTGGCCCACAAATGCGTGGCCGAGGACGAGGAGATTCAAGGAAATTGGCACATGGAGCCACGAGAATATTGTATCTGGTTGGGATGGCCTCTGCTTGACAATATTGACGAGGGCATATGGGTGGACAAAAGAAGAGGTAGATGTCTCCAACGAGTTGTGCCGAAGAGAGTTCATGGATAAGACCATTCATGCATACTGGCCACTGTAAGTGCTTGGACATGATCATTATTCAACCCTTCTAACTGTGCTTAGGTACTCGGTGTATGGTCGGAAGCCTTTGGATGCGGAGTAGTCGTCATGACCAAGTGTTAAGAGGGAGAATGTAATGTTCTATTTTGCAAGGATTCGGTTTGACGACAAGAAGATAGATGCATACTGGTCACCATGGGCCTTGGCAGCATCGTATGTGGTGATCCATGTTGACCATGTTTAGAGCTTCCATTTACGTTACCTTAAAAGGATGTTTCTGAATAGTGGCATTAGGGTTGAGTGGATCAGTTTTTGGATATGTCCCACTTGTCGATTTCTTGTGATTACCATGGTATTATAACAACGTCGCTGCCAGTGCTGCGGAAACTGACCAATGTATTACGAGTTGCAGTTTCTGGTTCTTTCATGGCGTGGAAGTAATTTTTGGTGATGAAGAACCGGAAATGCAGGTGATGTAAGAAACTATTACTTAAGGTGGCCGCAGCAACACTGCCCATAGTAGCAGGTAGGCTTGTGGGGGCAGCCTCTGTCGATCACACCGCTCTACAGCCACCAAAAGAAAGCCGTCTCATCGCATTCAGGCGGTGCAATTGACTCACCTGATGAATGCAACATCGCTCTCACCTCAAAACATTGTGGCTGAACGGACTCTTGGACCTCAACCTTGACCTACGTCGCGATCTTCGCCAGGCGCCCTTGTTCATCTCTGAGACCGTCTCATAGATCAACAACGGCTTAATGGGAAAATTCAGTTGAACGCATGCGTCGCTCCACTGACTGTCCCTCCGACGTCAGTCTTCATCGATCTTTCTCTATGGATCTGATTGATCATGTCACAGGGCACTTGTGGCGTCCATCCATAGAAATAAGCTTGAATTTAGGCGATGCTAGACCAGGGCAAAAGACGGGGAAAAACGCCCAGCCAACGTGTGAACGCCCCGCAGCCAGCAGTGCGAGAGCGTCGTGAAGCATTCCCATCACGGGACCTTTTGTTCGTTGCATGGCCAGCAAAGCGGGATTTAAACACTTGCAGGTTACTGCCATCGTACCTACGCGACTACGCCCGACGGCAGCACGGCAGGGGGCGCGCCCAATGGTGCAGAGGCGAAGCAGCCTGTCTCGCCCCGTACGTCAAGCGAGATCACCGCTGTGTGCACTACATTTCGCTCAGCGGCCCATGTCCCAAGACACCCAAGACACCGTCGGGCAACGACAATGGGCGGACTGCAGGTCTGCGCTCCGCGGCCCTTATGTGGGATTTGCTCAGCCCAGCTTTGGGCGAGGCGAATCTCGTGTGGTGCCCGGAACTAGTGCGGCACAGCCGTCGCCCGGCCGGGGTGCAGACGGATGCCTGGCTGCGGGTCTTGGAAGTGAGCGCCGCCAAGTTTTACGGCGCTCTTTCGCCAAGGTGCGGTTTTCGTCTGTGGAATTCTGGTTGATGTGTAGATTACTTAAGGGGTCTCTTGGTCCGCGGTCCTGTGTGACGACGGCATCTTATCCCTTGATCATTGGATTAAATAACGAGCTTACGATTTCGACAACGCTTTTGACGCCAGACGCTACTTACTATTCACTACATACACACAACAAGAGAAGGACACGAAGAGAATTGTCAACATGGGCGGCACACTCAGCCCGGAACAGATCATGTACATTGTACGGATTGTCGTCGTCGTATTAGCTGTGATCCCAATGGTGGTCCTCTTCGCAAAGCTCGTCCGCAAGCCAGGGTATCGCCATGATACGACACGCAGATGGGTAGACTACACCAAGGTCGGCTTTGGCTTCTGGACATTGTAAGCTGCCTCCAATCACGCCATCAGAATTATGTCAGGAAAGCACGTCTAACAACCAACTCAACAGATCGCACCTCCTCTCCATCGCCGTCTGGTCCTGCCTCGCCAGCGCCGCATATGACAGGTTTTTCGGGCTGCGCTACTCCGTCGGCGTAGCCGTCAATGTGCTTGCCTACATTCAATATTTTGTCGAAGTCTTACTCAATCTCTCCATCTTCCTCGCCGTCTTCTACATGGCACATGCCCTGACGCAGCTCCGGACCGAGGGCGATGAGGTCTCGAGCGCCTATCGCAAGGGCCGTGGCTTTGCCCTCGGCGGCTCAATTTTGGTCGTCCTGCTTTCCTTCGTCTCGTTCTGCCTCTACCTCGACGACAGGTTCGGCAGATATTACAAGGAGTACGAGTATCTGGTTGCGTCATGCTTAATGCTTGCCTCTTATGGCATCTTGATCATCATGGCCATCGGGTCTGTGGTGTATGCCGCAAAGTCGCGCAAGAAGGCGCTCGGTAGCGGATTGGAACAGGTATGTTTGGGTTTTCCGTCCCTCACGGCAACAATATTGCGGGTATTCTAATGCATTGCGTGCTGCAGGCGGCCAAGATCGTGGTGACTGTTGCCTCCCTCTTTCTCGTTCGCGAGTGTTGGGGCCTGGTGAACGTCTTCTTCGGAGGGAGTTACTACTACGGTTACTATATCGTGCTTTATGTCCTGGACATCGTCCTGACGACTTATCTGCCCCTTGTCATTCTGGTCCTGCTCTACTCCGTGGCGACGAAGGAGTCTTACGCCATGTCCAAGATGCAGTACCAATCGAAAGCCATTGATTCCGACAAGGGCGTTTGAGAGGGTCGAGGAGTCGATCGTCGGAGATATCGAACGAGACTATGATGTGACATGAAGTTAAGGGAGTTTTTACGTAGCAATGATTAGCAAGGAAGACTGGTTTGGGCAACTATTTTATTTCCAATGCATGAATGCATGGATTGGATTAAGGGTTATCAATGGAAATGCCAGATGAGAACGCTCCACAACGAGCGATATTATACCACTTGCTTTCTCAGAACATGAGTAGTATACGTCTATTATCTAGAATTGTAGATCTCGACCTCCGTCTTGAAACGCACCTTGAGATTGGCCTGGTAAAACTGTCTGCGAAGCCGCCAGCACAAGTTTCTCTTTCGGACTTGGCAGGTCATCTTAGTTCTCTTCCTCGGCAACGTACTCGTCAGGTGCAACGAAGTCCTCAGATCCCCAAGTCTTGGCGATGTACCTGGCGATATGTCAGCATCCCTCGATTATTTTTGCGCTCTAATCGAAACTCACTTGGTATGGCTCCCCCTCGCAGCAAGTTCTCCCTTCTTGTTGAAGAATTGGACGGTCGTGTAGGCGAGGGTCCTTCCCACTGCAAGTCGTCAACGATAGTTTCCGCGCGTTGAATTTAGAGGAACCTACTCTTGTCGCAGATGGCAGTACCCGTCATGATGTCACCAGGTGTTCCTCCGGGGTTCAAGTACGTGACTGGGGTTTATCAGTGATGGCGAGTTTCTGAGAACTGATGCGACGAACCATTGATATCAGTGGAGACGCCAGTCATGAAGCGGCCTTTTGAGGCGACGGCAAGGGAGCCGCCCAAATCCACAAGACTGGCGAGAGTGCCTCCATGGATGGTTTGCAGGCGGTTCTACGTAACATCAGACACGGTGCACTCTCGTATTTGTTCTCGGAACGGAAAACCTACGGTGTGCTCTTTCTGGATGGCCAGTTCAAACTCGACCTTGCCGACAGAGGCGCCCGTTACTCTGAACTGCAGTGAAGTGAGTCACATGTCAATCTAAATACCGACAACATTTTCATACGTTGTTACCAAGTAATCTAAAGTTCATCAGCTACGTGCATATTGACATAGGCGTAAGGAGAATGCAAGGACGAGCATCTCGATGCAACCCCAACTCACCTCGGTTCAAGCCCAGAGTCTTTGGAGAAGGAGTTGAGGACCTGGAGTAATGGTCAGTGCTGATCTCGAACCAATTGACTCATAAAAGACTCACAGATCGCACGAAGCGAAGGGGCGGCAGCTTGGGAGGCATCTTGGCACTGGAAAGTCGATGAAGGGCTGTTGAAATGAGATTCACTAGGCCAGGTGAGTTCGGCGGTCTTCGGCAATTGAAAGCAGTCGCACCCGCCAACAAGCTATCAATATGACGTGCCTTCCCGGCTTTCGTCCCTTCTCGCAGCCGACATGGATAAGACGCCGATAAGCAGCCGATAAGATAAGCGCAGGCAGCACAGGGGGGCCTCAGGCGGAAAGTTCCGCTGGCTAGTAATCCCTGCTCAATGATTGAATGACGGACCTGATCGCCTGTCGCAAATGATCGAGAACTTGTCCAAACCCAAAGCACACGACCACGACCGAGTCCCACGACCCCGACACCCCCAGCGCCGCGACGACCCCCGAACGAGCCTCGCGCCTTCCTCTCCGCCCGATCATGAGATAACACACGAAAATCTCGCCGACCTCCTCCTCCCCCCCAAACCACCGCGCGCAAACTCGCCCATCATGTCGGTCAGCTCGGGTCAATCACTCCAGCTGGCCGACTACCTGGAGAAGCTGCCAGGCACGACCTTCAGGAAGCTGTACCTCCAGCCCTCGACCGCCTTTGCCATCTTCAGGAGGATGATCCCCCCGCTGGGTGAGCCTCGCCGTCGCCGTCGCCGTCGCCGTCTCCGCGGCGCTCGCTGAGCATGGAACAAGCTAGCTAACCCAGGCATCCAACCCTCCCCAGCAAAAACCATCGTCATGGCCATCTTGTACATGCCCAAGCCAATGCTCCTCGAGGACCTCGACCTCTGGGTGAAGCCCGACTCGCGACGGTACAACACCCTCTCCCTCACACGTTACCCTTCCTCCCACCGCGCAGCCGCAAAATCTTTCTAACACAGCTTCTTCCCTCCCACAGGCAAAAAGACCAAGCCATCTCGACCCTGCGCTCCCTCCACATCCTCCAAATCACCGTCCCATCGAAAGAACGCCCCCAGGAGATGCAGCTCACCACAAACTTCAAAGCCTCCCTCCGCCTCGCCCTCGAGGGCGGCGGCCACCACAACTCCTTCGGCGTCCCCTCCACCCTCCCCGTCCCGCCCGAGATCACCATCCCCTTCCTCGACCGCTACGCCCGCCGCAAGTGGGACGACATCCTCCACTACATCGTCGCCACCGTCAACCCCGGCAGCGCCGACCTGAGCGGGCCTAAGTCGTCCGTTAAGAACCTGCTCGTCGCAGGCCAGCTCGTCCGCCGCCAGCAGGGCGCCGTCGGCATCACCCAGGCCGGCTTCACCTTCCTCCTCCAGGAGGCCAACGCCCAGGTCTGGACCCTCCTCCTCCTCTGGCTCGACGCCACCGACCACGCCCAGGACTCCGCCGGCATGGAGTCCACAGACATGCTCTCCTTCCTCTTCCTCCTCGCCTCCCTCGAGCTCGGCCGCGCCTACGACACAAACGCCCTCACCGAGGAACGCCGCAACATGCTCCCCTCCCTCATGGACTTCGGCCTCATCTACATCCCCTCCCACAAGCCGCAGCAGTACTTCCCCACCCGCCTCGCCACGACTCTCACAAGCAGCTCCAGCGCCCTCCGCAGCGCCGGCGCAGGCTTCTCCGCCGCCCTCGCCGCCGCCTCGGGCCCGGGACCCAACGGCAGCGGGTCCCGCAACGGCGCCACCCCAGGCAGCGGCTCCGAAGAAACCCGCAGCGGCAGCATCATTGTCGAGACAAACTACCGCGTCTACGCCTACGGCCAAACGCCGCTCCAGATCGCCGTGCTCTCCCTCTTCTGCAAGCTCAAGCTGCGCTTCGCAGACATGGTCTCGGGCCGTCTCACGCGCAACTCGATCCGCAACGCCGTCGAGCGCGGCATCACCGCCGACCAGATCATCTCCTACCTCGCGTCCCACGCGCACGAGCAGATGCACCGCTTCGCCGCCGTCCGGAGCAAGCCCGTGCTGCCGCCGACGGTCATCGACCAGATCCGCCTGTGGCAGCTCGAGACGGAGCGCATGACGACCACGAGCGGGTTCCTGTTCCGCGACTTTGACAGCCCCAGGGAGTACGAGGACATTGCGGGCTACGCGGCGGAGATTGGCGTGTTGACGTGGCGGAACGACAAGTTGGGCATGTTCTTTGCGAGCAAGCATGAGCAGATCAGGGATTACCTAAAGTTGCGCAAGAAGGCGGAGGATTAAGATAGACTGGACAGCGGGCGCGTGCGGGCGAACCAAGGGAATTACACCACAGAAAAGGCGCCGAGTACACGCGGAAATACACACACTGAAATGCATTAGCAGGCGTTGGGGTTTGGAAGAGAGGAACCACGGACTGGTCGGTGTAGAAGTAAATGGGTATTGGTCCTAACAGCTGAGTTTTCGTCTCTCATAGCCTCCATATATACAGATGCAGGGACTATTTTGTGTCCGTTGTACAGGCTTCCGCGATAGCTCTCTCCCGAGAGTCTTGACAATGTGATGCTTTTCCCAGTTATCCCTCCAATTCAGTCCAAAACAAAAACGCCTATCCATGTTGTCGCACTTTAATAATCCTTCATGTCAAACCACGTAAACCTCAAAGCATACTGACACGCTTTACAGTGCGGTATTTCCCCTCGATAACCTGCTTCTCGGGGCGAGGAGCGCCCATACTGCGTCGTCCGCCGCCGAAAATTCTCGCCACAAACCCCTTGTCCATGCTCACGCCGTGAGGCAGCAGTGCTACGCGGTTGTTGCGGCGCGCGTAGATCTCCTGCCAGGCATGCAGGCTCTTCTGCGCCTCAGGTGTGGCGCAAAGCGAGTCGAGATGCAAAAAGACGCGCAGACAGCGGTTGTCCTCCTCGTCGAGAGCCTTGGCCTCCCTGCTAATGGCTGTAGTGCTGTAGCGGTCCAATGCGGTAGTCGTGCTAAGAGGGAGATTGCCGCGGCTTTGGTAAGCCGCTCGCTGGTCGCGGACAACAGTAGATCTCGAGGCGTGGGCGGAGACAAGGGTTGCCAGAGAGTGAGGCTGGAGATCGTCGTTGTGAAAGCGATCGTGGAGAGACTGAAAGCGACCTGCCCAGTACTGGGATGACTGGGCAGTATTGATGATGAGAGGGTTGACCTCAGCGCTCATGGGCGTGGGGACTCGGGATGTGTCCGTAGTGCTAAGTGTGCTAGTTGAGGAGCCACTGACTTTGCGCGAGGAGACCGATCTGCTTGTAGAAGCCTTGCGGTCACTTGTGAAGCTCGTGAGTGACGTCCTTGAAAGAGATGCCGTGAGGTTGGATAAGACGGCCATGGTCCGTGACTTTGGAATGCGTTTCTTCTCTACGCGGCTGGAAGGACGGGAGTTGACCTTGGATTGGATTCCCGAGCTAGGAGCAAGCGACGGGCTGCTTCCCGACGAAGAGGTGAATGTGACTTCTCCGGACTTTGACAGAGGCGGCTGATTCTCATCGTTTCGAGCAGCCGCTCCGGTGAGGGCGTTGACGTCAAAACTGGCGACAGTGGGGTTGCTGGAGAGAGGTCCGCCGTGGGAGAAGCCTGCCGAGAGTCGTCTTGCATGGGAGGCAGCGGTGTATCCTGTTGCTTTTCCTGTCGATGAGGGCTTGGGGAGGCGTCCGGGGTCTCCAAAGTGGCCATGCGAGGCACTGAAGGGAAGGCGGGCGGAGTCGGTGTTGGTGTGGGATATTTCTCCCAGAACGTGACGATCGTTGAGACCAGGAAGTGCTTCAGGCGAGAAACGGGGTTCGCTGAACTGCTCAGATCCATCTCGTCCTCCGAATTCCTGCTGAAATTTCTCCATGGTTCCATCCGGGCCCGGGGTGGGAGCTCTTCCTCGGGTTGATCGGGGCATTCGACTGCCACGGGGAGCCTTTTGGTGATGAGATGCAGGGCCTGGCCGATGGAACTGCCGAATGACACTGGTACGCGGCTGCGGCTGTGAGAGTTCTGGCTGCGATTGGGTTGCGTCGTTGATGCTGTGGATGATGGTGATGGCGTCGGCTCGTTGGAGGTCAGCTCCGTCATTGCGACGGACTGGTCCAACGGGGCCAGAGATTGTCGGGCGGGCGACGCCGCCCCCGGAGAGACGGGAGCCTCGGTTCCGCGTAGGCAGGAACGAAGAATTAGATAGACGGTCTCGCATTGTTCCAGGACGATGACGAAAACGGCGACAGAGAAAACGCCGGAAAGGAAGATGGCGTAGGGGACGGCCCAGACAAAGATGCAAAGGGAAATGGTCCAAGTGGCCAGCGCGCCTTCCACAGCAATGCTGCAGATCTGGCAGACGTGGAAGAAAGCAGAAGCAAAAATAGAAAAGCAAACAGCGACTGTCCTGGCAAGAATTGAACAGAGGTGCAGGTTGGTCTGGGGGATGTAGAGACTGCTGGCGATGAGGGTGTAGAGGGCTCGCGTGGTTTGGGAGAGCAGAGCCAAGCCGAGGGACCCGGGTTTCGCGGGGGGCATTGTCAAAGTAAAAGAAAGTCGCGAGAAGGAAAAAAGGAAAAAAAAGAAAAAGGCTCCTTCAGACGGGCCGCAGAAAGTGCTCGGGTGGGCGAACCGACAAGACGCGCGGTGGGCTGGGTGAATTGGGCCGTGGGATCTGTGAAGTTGAGCTTCAGATGAAAAGGTGCTCTGATGTTTCGATGTCGTTGGATGATTTGACTGCGTCGTAAGGCACCTTATACGCCGAAGGCACGGACGATGACGATTAATCTGCTCTTTGGTCGCAGCTTCTGCCATTGAAGGAAGGAAGGTATGGATGATGAGTGGAAGGTGCGCATGCGCATCTGCCTCACACGGCAGGAACTTTCGTGATGGTCAACAACAACGGACATCGCGCGTCTAAGTGCCTTCTATATCTATTATCTATATTCTCAATTGAAGGGGCTGCGATCACCTGCTCCGATAGCCCGCGATATAGCAACTATATCGACTATTGTTCGCTGTCGTCTCTGTTGCCTCTGCCGTCGTCCCTCGTCGTCGCCCATCGTCTCTGTTATCATCATTTCTGCCTTTTCTATCGTCCTTCGTCGTCCTTGCTATCGTCCTTCGTCGTCCTTGCTATCGTCCGCCATCGTCTATTTTTGCCGTCTCAGGCTCTGTTAGGTTGTTGTTACTGTTACTACCCACTCCTATTCTCCTTTCATTTCTGTCCTTTTCTCTCTGTTTTCTCTTCTTTTTACTTAAGGTATATTTTGCCACGCACTTCAACGTCTTACTACTAGACCACTTAAGGAACTGGATGGCAGTGTCCTCTACTCAAGTATAACTTCAAACTCACTCAGAATACAGGAAGGTCACCTGTGCAGGGGACGGATAGTCGGTCTTTGCGTTCAGGTAACTTCGCATTGCATCGTCAGAACGTGACTGCTCTTCATAAATATCGTCTCATCAGGTCTTTCTCATCATGATGCACGGCAAGAGCACCCAACTGCATGCACCAGCCTACGCAACGTCTACTCTGGATGAATCCTTCTCTAGATCGCGTCTCTAGCTCTCCCATCCCTCGATCTTGAAGCGGAACACTTCGTCGCCCTTTCCCCTTTCGATGGGATTGCCGTTGCCATCCCACAACGCTCTTTCCCGGTACGACACATTGCCGTCCCAGTCGACCATAATGACCGTCTGTCGCTGCGTGCCGTACAGCCCTACCTCGAATCCAAGGTTAGGCTTCGTCGGCGGGTCAGGCCGCTCGCCCAGCTGGAGACTCTCAGCTGCCTTCTGGTCATCCGTCGCAAAATGCCCCGGTCCCCGCGCAACCGCGTCCGCCATCGCTTTGCGATGGCTCTCGTCGCCAATGGCGGGCACAAAGATGCTCTGCTTCAGCTCCTTGATGTAATCCGCCAGGCTCATGTCCGGATGCTTGGGCAGCGTGTCCGTATCTAGGACAGAAAAAAGGCGCTCGGCAAGGGCCTCCTCATCCAGATTCTTGTCAACCGCCTCTTGAACGGCCTCCTTGACGAGCCTTTTCCCGAGCTCCACCTTCGGCCACGGCTTGGGGTCGTTGTACACCGTGTTGCTGAGCCCGTACACCTCGCCCCGCGTCTCCGCGATCCACGGCACGTCCTCCAGCTGGTCGCAGCGGTTCGACACAATGGCGATCCCCTCGAGCGCGCGCGCGGGCTTCTCATCCTCGCCGCGCTTGCGCTTCAGTTTGCCGGCGACCATGGAGAAGCCGCCGACGCCCTTGACGCCGCCGTCCTTGACGAGGTCGGCGACGGAGGCCGGGGCGGGCTCAGCGGGGTCGGAGCCGAGCCAGTGGTTGGTCATGCCGCCGCGGCTGCGGGCGGCGTGGATGGGGTGGGTGGCGTCGCCGAGGTCGGTCTCGCGGTAGTTTGTGAGCACGGCGAGGTGGCCGGTCTTGGTGATGCCGAGCCAGGTGCCCTTCTCCTCGCGCTGGAGGTCGCGGGCGGAGAGGACGGCCGCGCCCGAGGGATGGGTCCACCAGTGCGGCCGGGAGGTGGGACGGAGGATGAACTCATCGCGGTTGTCGACGACGATGAGGGCGTAGTCCGGGTGGGCGGTGGTGAGGAGGACGATGCACATGGTGGGCGGATGTGCTCGTTGCTGTCCTTCGAGTTGGCGGTTTCCAGTAGTGATGTTCCTCTTTGTCGAATCAGGCTTCTTTGATGGCCGGCCTGTCGTGTGTGCGAATTCTTCCTTTCTTCCTGCGTCTTTGACGATGTCCTCGGTCTGGTTCGCAACGATAGCGGGGGTCGTAATCCTTCCAACCTAGCAGCTGGGATGAATCAACGCCCGGACGTGGTGTACGGATGAATGACTGATGTGGTGGCTCTCGGTGGTTTTGCTTTGGCGTGTAGAACTGTCGGGGAAGCTTTTCGACTGTCTGTTTCCCGCTTCCTTTTTAAAAAAAGCTGAGGTCCAGATTCAAAAAATCAGTCCACCTTCAAAACGTAACGCAAAGATCAGCTCGGCCCAACAGGTATGCTTGGCTTTGGACGTGTGTCTGCCTCGGCCTCGGGTTGTCATGCATCGTCTGACGGCGGACGCTTGGCGGCTGGTGGCAGCGTGGCAGCGTGTCCCCGTTCGTCCACTCCGACAGCGGTGCCGGCCGGAGAATGACACAATATGGGCCACCAGACTTCCAAGGTCGGGGCCTTGTCACTGTGCCCAGTGCCTCCTGCTAGGACGGAGTCTGCAGGGAAAGGTAGCGCTGTACATGGACCAGCTGATTGCAGCTGACAGCACTGTGA